AAAATCTAGAAAGAACAGACCCTACCGGCTCAGTGTCACTTATGTCATTTAAAACAAACAAAAAACCTAAGGGTCTCTACATTTCCCACAGATAGGAGAATACTCGTTTTGTTTTGTTTTGTTTTGTTTAAGATATTTCCCATTACTTCTCTGGGAATCCTCCTCCACTCTTTTTTCTTCTTGTCTCAAAACAATGCCTTCAACCTCTGCAACTGCATCCACTGCAAACAGCTATGAATATTAACACAGTCCAGAGTCCTATTAGCTTTTAAAAGACCCTCAGGGTTTCAAATTGCAGTTGCTGAGGATAGGGAAGGTCTCCAGTGAGTAAATGTCACTATGCTCATTCAAAGGGGGTTTGCTCATGAAATTTAAAGTTCTTCAACCTATGGGGTAAATCAGAGGAGTCCTTTTTATGTTTTTAAACAAATAAGGAAAAGACAAAAAACAACAACAACAAAGATCCTAGTGCAATCAACATTGTTTAGTGTCACAGCAACTTTCAATTCAATGAGTTCTCTACATTTCCCTTTCCCATGGACGTCATTTTTGAAACTGAAGTCAATTTTAAACAGCCTCTGTTTAGTCTTTCTCCCAGCTCTTCCTTCAGAGCTTTAGCAGGTGCACAGCACTTGTGCCAGGTGCACTGTTAAGATACAAACCCCTAGTGTGCTCTCCCAGCATCCTCATCCACACTGAAAGTGACATGCTGAAAAGGCTTCGCCCCGAGGAGACACCTCCACAGGAAGGGAGAGGCCCTTTCATTGTGAGCATGGTGTCTGATGGTAACAAAGGTCAGCGATAGGCCATCTCACTGTTGAGGGAAGCTGTACAGGGAACCCAAGCACAGTGATTAACCCTGGAGAGCGCCAGACAAGAGTGACCCAGGGTCTCTACCAGCTCTCTCATCTTCCTGAAGATTTGCCCCCACATTTACTCCTACTACAGCCAAAAGTCCAAACTCTGTGAAACCTAGTAAACAAATCTAAGGATGGACAGAGATAAACACTTTTTCAAAGAAAATTCCTTGTAAAAGGGAGTGGGAAAATCTCTGACATATTAAAGTCAAGAGGGATATTGTCCCTATACATAAATTTAGAGTGGATTCATACCAGTTCCTGAGGAAAGGGTTCTTACCACTTCCCAACCTGGCAGTATTCAAAAATTAGGCTTAATGCCTTAAGTTCTTATCAGTGGTACTTAAACAATATGTCTTTCTCTCAAGCAACCAATATTATTTCCCAAGACAATAGTATTTGTGAGAAACCTCCCCACACTCAAAAAAAGATGTCAGAGGACTAGCAAGAAACAAGTCCTCCACCATTAAGAGGCAAGTGAGGGCGGCTTCATACCTTGCTGCAAACAATTCTGAGCTCAAGCCAAGTTCTCTACAACTCTGAGAGCACTTGAACCTTTCATATTTTTCTTTGCCATGACTCCGTGTTTAAAACATTCCCTTAAAGGGTCTGGGGATGTAGACTGGTGGTAGAACACTCGCACAAAGCTATGGGTTCCATTCCCAGCCCAGCTTAATAAATAAAGGATGTTAAAGCTTTGTTGAGCTTATATATAATATGGAGACAGATATATCAGGAAATACCTAAGACCATCCATATAGATCTACTTTTTTTTTTTTTAAGTTTAGGTTCTGGAAGGATTTGATCACCTGATTTGCATAAACAGGATGGAAGTATTTGCCAAATCCTTAATCACAACACCCTGAACACCTGGGTCCTGAAACACAGCTGTAAAATTTAAAAGACAAAGGCCCTCTTTGCTTCACAACTAGGTAATCTTGGTTTGTGCACTTCCTAATGTAACCTAACCAACATTTCTGTGCCAAAACATTCAAGGTTTGGTTAGCCACAGATTTGATATTGCAAACACATAATACAAACAGACCCAGATCCATAAATTCATTTTAATGCAGCCTAGGATGACCACTTTTGGTGTTCTTTTATGAATGTCCCTGCTTTTGAATCCTGGTCATCTTTTCTCCACAGAGAACAAGCATTGTGGGTTTGTTCTTCCTTTAGGGCCAGCCTGGTTGCCTCCCCACTTACAATCCCAAAGGCCAGCAATTAGCGCTCAGAAACTTTAATAAGCCAGCAAAATTTTGTGGCTAAATATCGTATTCAAATTTATACCACAGGTAAGTCTAAGGTAAAGTGTATTTAGTACTTTTTAAATAGTTTCTGAAGCTGTGCTCTCACAGCAAACTGTGTACTAAGAAGTTCAACTACTTCTAAGGTTCTGGGAAGCTGGAATAAGGCTTGGCAGTGCTTGGTACTATTTATGAATGTGCTAGCTGGACCCTGCCAATCTCACCTACGTAATGTGATGGAAGCCACAGTTACAGCTCCACTACTACAAGTTACTATGCTGAATAAGTTGTCGTCAGGCCCTATGAAGAAATTCATTTTACACTGTTAGCTCCAACCCATTTTTTCTATTCATACTACATTTACATTCACTATTAAAAAGTTTTACTTTACTTATGCTAGGCCTAGGAGCAACTCCAAAATTAGATGCACTGTTTACAAAAGAGAAAGAAAAAAAAAAGTTCTGTAAAGCCACAGATCCCCTGCTATCTCAAACCCACAGTCTGAAATTGTTTGAACTGGCTGCAGTAAATCTAGTTCATGGGCTTGTAAACTGGCTCAAAGCATTTTCTAGACACAATGGACTTACAAGGTGTAAACTTACTGAAATTACAAGATATTTCATTATATTATACACAGACTTTCTCCACTCATGTCTTGTCGAATCACAGCCAGAAATATAAACTATATAAATGTTGTTCTGGAAATTTTACATTAGTGTTTTAAATTAAGATCTGAAGATTAGGGAAAAGAACGTATTTGCTTGAAATTTCTTTAATCAGAAGGGCAACCTGGGCTATAGAGCAAGACTGACTTATAAAAAAGGGAAGGAAAGGAAATATAATAGCTACACATATTTTTTCAATGGATAGTCATTTTGTACTGTATAGTGTTGCCACATACTAATCAGAAACCACAATGCTGGAATCTTAAAATCTAATCAGTTAACAACTTAATGAGTATAATCAAATCTCCTGAAGCTCAAAATACCCAGTTTGGTATTTATTGATCATCAAATGCGTGAGTAAACCAGAAAAGACTACAATTTTAAAGGCATTTACGCTGTGTGAAATGTCACTTCTAGGCAAAGGAACGCCTAAAAAATGAGCAGTATGTCCTGCTCCAAAAAACAGCAAAGCAAAGTGGGTCTTGTGACCATAGGAAAGTCTGAATAAAAGGACACTCTGTCCTCTCCCGGAAGTTGCTGCTTGGGAACTAAGTGCCTTCCCCCACAATGCCACTGACACATGGCACTGCAAGTCACTCTTCCAACAGGTGAACACTTGAGAAGTTATTCTGACTCTGCCCACGTGATTCTTAAAAAAAAAAAAAAAAAAACTTAAGTATGTAAAAGAAAACTCATAATTCCACAGACTGCCTCAACTAAATAAAAGCTGCAGAAGGGCATTACTGGGTTCTATCTCCAATACGTGGCACAGTCACTGCCTGTGTAAAACCCATCCTATGACCACTGACTCTCCCTTGGTCGGTAGCCACAGTAGAAACAGAGAAAGCAGAATCGTAGCTAAAGGGTCCCGGCCTGCTTCAAATGCCTACCACTTGCTCCTAGGGCCAAGTTAAAGACAATGTGTCCCATTTTGAGAGGCACAGGATCTTCAAATTTGAGAGAAATTAAAGTTTTCTTCTGCTCCAGGCAGCCAGATACTCAGACCGTATTTTCTAAAATCAAACCAAAGGTGTTGGTTAAAACTGTGTCACCAGTTTTGCTCTTTTTTTTTAACCAGCAAATGTCATGCTTGAGGTTAGAGTACCTTTTCTATGTTTAATGAAGATGTCCAATTGTTCGAAGAGTACACGCAATAGCCTTTTCTGGAAGACACCAACAGTTATACAACGATAGTAATTACTGCTAAGTGTACAGGATTTGACTCATGGACAGATATCGTCAGAAGTAAAAAGATGTTGGCAGAAACAGAATGTCTTTTTTTCCTGCAAAACTCCCAAATGAAGCATCTCACTAACTGCAAATAGGACAAGATCCTGATAGCACAGGAAAGCACCACTTTATGGGTAAACAAACTGCTAAAGTCAGCCAAGTCGCTGGCAGCACCGTTTGCATCAGCACTACTCCAAAACTAATTTGCACCATTTATGGAGGAGAAACTCGAAGGTGGCCCCACCCCACTGGATCTCGAAGCCCCAAAGGGCCCCAACGCAACAGACAGAAAGGAACAGTTCCCTATATGTCGCCCAGGCTGGAAAGAACAGACTTCTAAAAGCATTCACAGATCTCTAAAAAGTATCAAAAACCCCTAAGACGTAGGTCCCCTGGGGAAGGAGGCTTTCTATCCAGGTCCAGAGCCACGTCAGGCCACCACGGTCCTTAGTATTGAGATCCAGCTACAAACATTAATAAATAATTTAAGTGGAACGCCGGGGCCAAGTCTCCTTCATTCATTACTGGAAGCCCCAGAAGCTCAGACACCAAAGAGATGAATTACAGGAGAGGAAAGGAGAAACACCCACAGACCCCACACTTTTGACACTCTGATGCAGACGTTTCCCACCTTCTACACACACACACACACACCCTCTTCACTAAGCCACACATCACCCTCGCCACGTTCTCACCTCCAAATCTCAACTCCCAGTGACCCACACTCTTGACCTTCAGAGCCCCATGAGGCTAACTCACCCACCCTTAAGGTGCACGACCACTCGCCCCCCACTCGGGCACAGCCACCTGATACAGTTTGTCTCCAAATCTCCCGGACCCACGCTGCTCATTCCGAAGCCCACGAGGTACACGCGCTCACCTCCAGATCCCAGACGCAAGCTCTCCCCTCTGCCAACTTCATGCAACTTCACGCACAGAACCCTCTGCACTCCCCTACCCCAAGTGACAGCGCCCCAAGGCGCAGGAAGGACAACACTCACAGGCTTCGCGTCCAGGCGGGCATATCCCCGGGCACAGCGGTCAGCCCGCGCCCGCCGCAGTCCAGCGCGTCCCCGGCGCAAGTGCAGGCGGCCGCGCAGGGGGCCCGCGTGCCTGGCTCAGCGGTCTCCGTCTGGGTCCCGAGCAGCAGCAGCCAAAGCAGGAGCAGGCAGGGCGCGCGGCACGGGGCCCCCGGCGCTCCCCCGGCCGGCCGCGCCATCTTGTCTGGAGCGCGCCGCGAACTCCGGCGCGGGATCTGCGAGGTCCCAGGCGCGCCCGCGGGTCTCCACACCGCGCTAGGTTGCGCGCCGGGGCATAGCCGCCGGCCCAAGCTCCTTCCACGGCAGCGGGCTTCTGGTCGCAGCAAAGCGCCAGGCGGAGGCCGCGAAACACTCGCCCATACGGGCCGGGCCGCCCGCGCTCGTCGCAAACTCCGCAGACCTGGGCAGAGGAATTGGGGCCGCACTCCTACTCCTCCCGCGCGCTCCAGTCCGTTGCGGAGCTCCGGCTCACGACAAGCGCCGCTGCAACCGCCGCCGCAGCCACAGGAGAAGCGCTCAGCTTCGCAGCCGGAGCGTGGCGTCGGCGGGCATCTTCCCCAGCGCTCGCACCGCACAGCTGGAGACCTGGGCTGGACTGCCGACCCGCGTACCTCGCTGTCCGGGCGCCGCGAGCAAAGCACGGAGACCGCACAGCTCCTTTAGCGCAGCTACAGCCCCGCAGACCTCGCGGCCGAACAATCAGCGGCTAGTCGCCCGCCTCTCCACGGTCTAGCCCCGGCCGGTCCCCCAGGCCCCGCCCCCGGCCGCGCGCCCTCACACACCCCTTCGGCAGCCCGCTGGCCCACGTTGGATGCTTTGCAACAGCGGTGCGCCCCGCCCCCTCTCTTTGCTCATTGGCTGCCGTAGTCCACAACGGAAGGTCATTGGGCCGTTTACCGTGAGCCCGCCCCCGCAGCCCGACGGCCGTCCGCCCCCACACCCCTTTCCCACCCAAGGTGTGAAGGGTGGGGGACTGGGAGGAGAAAGAGAGGACCGGCCCCCACCTCATGTTTTTCTTTTTTCTTTTCTCTCTTTCTTTTATTCTTTCTCTCTCTGCCGCTCTTTCTTTTTTTGTTTTTGAAAAGACAAAGTCTTGCAGTGTACCCCTGGCAGGCCTCAAACTCCTGCTGGACTGTAGTGAGCCTCCTGCCTCAGCCTGGTCTATGGGCGTCTGGCTGGTCCTTGACCTCTAAACGGAGACTACAGGTGGTTGGTTGATAGAGAAGGAGAATATGGCCTTGAAAGAGGAGTAAAGATAAGTTCTCTAGGTCTGGGGGAAGAGAGAAAGTAGGTTAGGAAGGAAAGCTTAGCTTTGAAACTGTCTGGCCCCCAGATTTCTTCCCTCCTCCCCCCAGGCTAACAACAAGACCTGAATGACAAACATGCGCCCATTTTCCGGGAACAAAAACAAATGTAAAACAGCACACAGGTCCTCTAGTTATTTTGTTAGGGGTAGCTCCCTTCCTCCTGGCTCAGCCTGGAACTCGTTTTCTGCTCCTGACTTGTTTTTGATATCTTAAATCCAGCAACATGCCCTTGATTACCGAAATCAATAGGTACTGCAGAAACCAAATCTCAGAGTAAAAAGATTAGTAACGAAATTTTTAACTTGGGCTCTTACAGATCGTATTAGTATAATTTATATTATTATATCACTTGTAATTGCTTGAAACAGTAAAGTGCACATGCACACATACTTTAAAAGAAAGCTGGGGGGGGGGGATTAGCACACTGTAGTATGCAGCTATCCCCAGTACACTTTGGTTTTCCCAGTGTCTCACGCCTTCCCAAGTGCGTGCAGCTCCCAACTCTACACATTGTCAGGAAAATTATCAGGTCAAGTCTGCTGAAAAATATTTGCTCCAGTCTATTACGTCTGACTTGTAGTTTATGGAAACAGAGAGGAGGAAATGTTCTTCAGGAAGCAAAAGCAAAAACAATATAAAAAGTTAGAGTTTTGTTTCCTACTTGACACTTTCAAAGGGGCATGCTTTAACTGAGATGTACTAAATGTGTTCAGTTTCCTCAGCCCTAAGAGAGTAGTCACCTCTTGTCACCAAAATTGGGCCTGATTTTCCTAGTCAAGGGATGACCATTGCCTTTCTTCTCATCCCTTCTTCACTGACTTTTCACTCCGTCTTCTGATTCATAATGCTACCAGACAATGATGTTTCATCTCTTTTTCATTTTTTCTTTTGCATGATCTCAGCAGGGATGCCTACAGGAGGCCTGAAATATGTGTGTACATCACTTCAAATAAGCCAGGAAGATTTATTGGAAAAATGTCCATGACTTCTTCTACCAAGTCCTTGAACCATGTTTTATGTTTCACTTATAATCCACATAAACCTATCTGGACAAGAAGAAATATATCATTTTGGATTCATTTTGATGAAAATAATAATAAGCTGAGGGAATGGAATGTAAAGGACTCAAATTGATGAAGTCTTCTATGCTATATCACGGTTTAAGTTTTTGAAGACCAAAGAATTCAAAAGACTAATCTAACATAGAATACTTCATGACCATTTTCTTAACACTGTTGGGTCTGTTACATCAGCACGTGCAACAAAAAATAAATGGAAAGGATTAAATTTCTTAGAATGCTGACTTAAACCGTTTTCTTTCAGGTTGGCCCATTAATAAATATTCTAAAATATTTTTTCAAATACTTACCAGGTACCAGTGTACCTGTGAGATGCTTCTTAGGGAACACAAAGTTCTAGAGAATAAGATTTGAGGACCTGCAAGCTTATTTGCCCACAAACTTAAAGAATCCCCTGTGGCTGGTTACCACGAAGCTAGAGAAAAGGATTCCAAACTGAGGAACACTTAGGGGGACGGGGCGCCTGAGCCTTGGCAGTGCCTCTGTCTACGGCAAAGCATGAAGTCATGTCTGCTCCTCATACCATGTATGGAAGTTTGCCCACATACCAGCAACCTGTGTGTGATTGCAGTGAAAGTGTGGGCTTGGAGAGCTATGATATCTGGCTCAAGGGAGAATAATCTGTGGCCACAACCTAAAATCAGGGAGATGACAATAGCAAAACCAGTTTCTAAGGGCCATTATGTCCCTGTTTATTAATGACCAAATTTTGGTCCTTTAGATACAGAGCAAAAGTTGATTTGGTTATTCTGGATCCTTGTTGCCTTCACAGCCATGTTTATACATTTAGCAACGTTTTCCTTGAATGGATCATCCCATCCAGACATTTTAGATTTACAGTTTGGTAGAGAACAAATGTGATGTGAGGGAGAGGGGGATGGAATCAAATCCCCACTGAGAATCACTGCAGGTCTCTCTTGAGCACAGACACTGCAGCAGTTAATCATCCTAAACCCACCGCGAGAGAGAGGAACACCGGATCACTAAGAACTGGAGAGAGAAGCAAATATCAAGAAGAAAGAGGTTGATCATTGTGGGTTTTTGTAAAAGACAACTTCTAGTGGAATAAATTGCGGCAGTTTGCTAGAGTTCTAAGTGGCGATTATTGATAGTTTTTAAAGAATACTGGGATTCACAGATGCTTTCTAAGTGTTGGAAAAGAGTCTACATTATGTTTAATACATTAAAATAGCATCTGGGATGGAGATGAGAGGGTGGCCTTAGGTTCGTACCACAAAAGAAGAAGAGAAAAGAAAGAACCAGGGCAGTCTTCAGAACACCAGGATTCGAATCAAGCTTTATCAGTACCATAAAGCCTTCGTCGTCTTCCTTTAAAGCCTGTTTTCTCAAATGAGAAGCCAGGCTAATGGTACCTGCTGACCGAGATGCTGAGAAAACTAAAAAAGGATTCATTTTGATAAAGGACACAAATATATTATGAACTGTATAGGGTTATATGCATCTAAAGTTTATTTTTAAATTGTTACTGAATTGTTTAATTCTGAAAAACTAAAATTTTTTGCTCCTCCTGGAGATGGAAAGTCTTAGTAAGTTCTTTTCACCACAGAGATTTCTTTACCAAGAATGCTGCAAAGGGTTAATAATTACCTGTAAAATCCCTGAAGACTTGCAGGGTGATGACAGCCCTCCTTTGAGCCTGTCTTGTATCTCCCTTCCAAGGAAAATAAAACTGTGTACTCATTAACTCCTTCCTCACGGTAATCTTGGCAGTGAGATGGATTAGGGGAGACGTAGAAGAGAAAACTAGTGGGTATGAAGATGGAATATAGAAGAAGAGACAATTTTGAGATCTCTTTGTCCCCTATCGAAACATTTTCCTTTGGTGGTGGTGGTCGATGGAGATGTTTTCTTGTGCAGTCCCTGGCTCTTGAGATATTGGTTAATCCTCACACAGCACCAATCTACAGCAGCTGGATTTTGCAGCAAGACTGGCTGATGCCTGCTGCTTAGCTTCAATCCTTCACAGGCCACTTCTAAGAGCATCTACCAGGGCCCAAACCTCTAGAGACCAAGGTCTAAAACAAACTAGAACTTTTTACTTGTCTTTGCCTTGTGAATTAGCAGTTTTAACTTTACTGGAAGGATTTTTTTTTTAAATCACCAAAAGCTCTGAGCATTTCAAAATCCTGAGATTCAGTGTGAGGTGCCCCTTAGATCTGACAATAATAATGATGGAATGGCCTAAACCATCTCTCATCCTCAATATGCTGCTTTTCCAAATGTTACTTAGAGAAGCACATAAAGTATTAGGAATACAGGAAGAAAAAGTTTATGCTTTACTGCCAGCAACTCAGAAGTAACGCTTCTATGTACACTAAGAACAACATACTTATTATCTTTATGAAGTAGTATGCCTTTTATTTCTCAAAGCAATGTCACATCACAACAACAGCTACCATTTATTGAGCACTTATTGTGTGTTGGTCACTTTTTTATACTTGCTTCGTTTAGTTAGGAGTCAAGAAAAAGGCTTAAGGCCACACAAGTTAGTAAGTGACAGGACACCAACTCTGTGGATGCCAAAGACGTATTATGATATTCAAGGCTCATAAACTTTGGATTTGATGGGTATTTTTTATGGGTTTTTTTGGTTTTTGTTTTCCTAAGATTGAGTCTCACTATGTTGCCCATGCTGGTCTTGAACTCCCAACTTCAGTGATCTTCCCACCTTAGCCTCCCACTGGGATTACACACATGTACCACCACTCCTACTAGCCTCCTAAACTTTGAATATGACAGTCATTATTGTTCCCACTTTATAGAAGAGAAAGCTGAGGTTAATTATCTCAAGGTCACACAGGATCAAAAGTAGTTTTGTTTTGTTTTTCTGTTCTTTTGTTTGATTGAACCGAGGCCTTTGTGCTGAGTTACACCCCAGCCCTTTTAAATTTATTTTTTACATTTTATTTTTAAGACAGGATCTCACTAAGCCACTAAGTTGCCCAGAGTCAGTTGATTCTGAGATCAATGGATTTGCCAATATCTTGTGCTACTTAGGTGTTGAGCAGGAATCCAAATCCACTGCTCACAGCTAACCCACTGCAATCCCTCACCTGTTTCAAGGATGCTCCATTATATTTCCCTTTCATGTTTTTCTTTTCTCTAGACTAGCAATTTATTAAGCTCAGGAGATGTTCAAACCTGTGATCCTTCTGCCTCAGCCTCTTAGAGTGCTGGGATTAATAGATGAGCACCATTTTGCACAGCTATAAATAGACTCAAAATTCCTCCCTCTCACCATTACTCACACTTTATGTTGTGTATGTCTCACGAGATGTATAATAATGCCTCTTTCTCAGAGTTTTCATGAAAATGGACATAATTATTTCCTTTTCC